TATATATATATTAAAAACGCATATAAAAAATTGTAGTGTAGAGGACCTCTGCAGAATGCATTCATGTACAAAGAGAGTTATTTTGAAGTAAAGATACTAATCACTCTTTAAAAGCGACATAACAGAGCTGTCCGCGAAAAGCTTAGCTATCATCGATAGCTTAAAAGCGTATGGGTGTTAGTTATTTTTTTCTTTTTTTTAAATTTCCTCAGTTTAATTGTTTTTACCAGCGTATAAGGCTAATACATGAATAACTAATTAAGCACTTGAATTGGATGAAATTATGAAAAGTCAGAAATACTCATCATTTTCTCTAAGTTTTTTTTTCTAATTAAAAAGCAACAAAAAACGAGAGAGTCCAATTTGGCCCCATCTGTCTTTCCAGAGTTAAATTATTTTAGGATTATTTTTATAATTGCTGCTTTTATTTTTATAATTGTATATCAATAGTTTCAAACATTTTTTACACTTAAATATGATTTCAATATGTAAGATTTTTAAGGTAAAGACATTTTCAGACATTTCTTCATTATAAAACTGTAAAGACACGGTGGTTGGGGACAGAACGCTTACCTCAAAGTAACTCTGGTTTGATTACCAAGAATGACTGGTCTTTGCGAGTTCTGCTCCCAGCTTGCGCCAACCACAGTAAACATAAAATATCCATACATGGAGCGAGAACATATTTACTTCGTAAATATCAAAAAGGAAAAAATTGCTTCTGTAAGGCAAAAAACCGCTGTAACTATAAAATTGTTTGCGTTCACGGAAATAACTTGTGCTTGCATTGCAAAATATTACTGATTTATTTCGTAAGTTTAACGGTTTTGCACAACCAACCAAACCTTTATTTTCAGTGTTCTCTGTGTTTTAAACATGACAGGAAGTTTTCTATGCACACACTGAGCATTCTGAAAATAACTGCTACTGACTTTTAAATGAAAGTTAACTGAACATCAAAAACTCACCAAAGATGTTATCAAGAATTTTTGGTGTTCTGTCATCATTCCCACCTGTTGAGCCTGTTAGTAAGAAACAAAAAAGTCCTTATAAAATGCATTTTTTAGCTTTCAAAAATTAAAAATAATATTAGAAATTTATTTCAAACTATTAAAAATATTTCAAACTAAATATAAATGAAAATTAAAACTAAGAAATCATCTTTAAATTACAAATAAGCATGCATTTGTAAAATGCTATTTATTCATGATTAAAGTCTGATTTTCTTAAAAGCATGCTGGCCTTTTCATGTTTTTTAATTAAAAATCATTAATCCTGATATTTATGTTTAAAAAAATAGCATATTTAAAAAAGTTCTAAAATTAAAAGATGTCTGAATTATTTATGAAATCGATCCGCTGATTACTTTCTAGTAAACAATTTCGAAATTTAAAAATCAACTTACGACAATTTTTAAAAAAATATATATTTAGATCTTTTATGCCACTAATGAAAAATTCAAAATTTCAAAAAGGAACTACCTAGTTTCATATTAAAAATAATAATTTATAAATTTATATATGAGCAGTTAATCCTTAAATGAAAATACTGAATAGGGATCTTTAAATCCATAGTCGAAGTATCAGTTAAATATGAATCCTATCACTTAAATATGGATTAGATTTAGATAAGAAATAATCAATGTTTTATTGTAAAAAAATTTGTTTAATTATGTCAAAATTTATTGATAAGCATAATGGAATAATAATAGTTGTGTATAAATGAAAATGGCAACCAAAATGATGTTCCACTTTTTTTAAAAATATTGTTCGACCTCCTAAACACTCCCCTTCTTCTAAAATTTCACACTTCACTAATTTTCCCCACCCCCATCACACGTAACTGTAGGTTGCATAAATATATACTAGCAATTCAGAAACAAAACGCATGTTATAAATCACATTTCGAACTTTATTTTTGAACTTAAACTATTTCGAGCATAATAGTAACAGTATTTACATCGAATCATAATTATCACTAGGCTTATAAATGTCATTGTATTTTAGTGACATTTATGAGCCTAATAATGATAACTATTAGATGTAAACCTATTTCGATGAAAAAAAATTTAAAATAAATAATTTTAAAATATTTAATATGGTGATTTTAAATGTTCTTATGTCACATTTCTTTTTGTTCTCTCCCTTCTCCGTGGCACACACAACTTTCCTCCAGGCAAACGAGGCATCATTTGTGGACAGTCCTATACCAGAATAACATACTTAAATTTTAAAAAATGCTAAGGCTTAATAAAAGATAAGAAACGAGACAAAACGAGAATATTGCCGACTTATGCAATTTAATTAGTGAAATTCAAGCAGTCAATTTAACCGGATGGCTGCGGTCAGTGTGCGGTTGGGTGACCACTTGGATCAGTCTGAGTAGGGACCGAGGGTTTGCGGTATTGGTCCTCGTTAAACTGTTCTACCGTAAAGTGCTCGACATCGCGTGCAGGTCGTCGGGCTACTGAAGCGGGGGTGCTATCCCCTCTGCGGAGGATCAAAATTGCGATGGCATGTCTTCGGATCATCCTCAGGGATATTTCCCAGACCGTCGCCAATAGCCCATTGTGCAGCTCTAGTGCGACGTAAAATGAACAAATCAAATCCGGGCAATGATAACTCCAGTTTTTTACAAGTGGTTATGTCATCTTTTTTTTCTATTATCGTGGGATTTACGTCCATTTGAGACTTGAGCGAAATATTTTATTCCAGCGGTTAGGAAAAGCAGAAAATTTTAAAACAAGTTTAATTTTCATGGAATTTACATCAGTACTTAGCTTGACCACATTGCACGGTATAAAATGCTGACACTTTGGGTGCATCATCAGTAAAATACAATTTCATCGTTAAATTTTATAATACCATAATGTTTACAGAAAATATTTGTTTTATTAGAATGATTCAGTGGTTTTACAGTGAAAATTACAGAATATCAGATTTTTTTGTTTCCTAACATGTTCCGATAAAAATGGCTTACACGTAAAAAGTTATGACACCCTGAGTGCCGGTACTTATTGCAGTAATTTAATCCGGAATTTTTTACAACGTGTAAAATATTATCCTGGGAGCATCATCCGTAAGATAAATGTTACCGTAAGACCCGTTTTTCCAGTGAAATTTCACACAGTAATTCTTTCAGTAGGAATTCTTTCAGTAGTATTTATTTAATTACGTGATTCAAAGATTTTACAGAAAATATTGCTGTAAAAATTATGGTATATCAGACTTTCTCCTAAAATTTTATGGTAAAAATTGTACCGGCACTCTGAGTGCTGGCACTTTCTTTCGTAATTTGACATGGGACTTTTTACAGTAAAGTTGTCTATCTGACCCCTTTTATATCAGTTTAGATCACTTATTTGAAGTGATAAACCGAATTCGTTTAATTCTAATTCATTAAGATAATATTACATCATCTTTGCTATCACTAGGAAAAACTATCTAATAAAACAACGAAAATTCTATTGTTAATAAAGGGCATGTTTACGTGTGCTTTAATTATAACGTGTAATATCAGTTGCCATGTCATGTTTATTTTCTTCCGAGCTTGTTTTATATGGGGCTTTACTTGAATAGTGAGCTAAATCCATTAATTACAAGAAACTCAAAATGAACAAAAAAAGGAGCTCTTATATTATTCAAATGATGAAAACACATATTTTTATAATTATTCGTAGCAAAGAAGATCATTTCATTTAAGTAGTGCGTTCGCTAATTTACCAGTGTCTTGAAACTTACTGCCTTCAGAACTGTATAGAGATTTTTTCGTGGCACATCCAAAACAATACGGTGATCCTTTATTTCATGTTTTTCCAACTTTCTTCCTTTAGATTGCCTGTACTGTTTCACTTCCCAAAACGTTTCTCTGTAATTTGAATTTTTAAACTGGTAAATCCGAATAGACCATTTCTGTTTCTCACCTTCTTCTAGAAAAGGCTTCAGTCGAATAATTGCTGCAAGATAATAAAATTGTACAATTCAAATTAAGAAGATAATGCAATTCTAATAATTAATTTTATGTAATCATAACTGTTTTATAATTTAATCATCGGTATTTGAGGACTATTAATTATTTTAAACTATAACACTTAGATTTACTAACTTTTAATTAATATGTTTTATTAATTATTCACTATGGGCGTAAATATAACTTATACAACTTTAAAAAAAAGTTTTTATGTTTAACGGTGTAAATTGAGAAGAAATTTCTAACCTTGTATTTTGTTAATGTGTAATGCTATTTTAATTGAATTTTATTTGAAGTTAGGTGTCATGTTATAGTTTTAAAGTAAATGGAGCATTTTTATGCTTATAAAGATAGTAAATATTCAATATCCACCAGAATAGTCTCTAATGACATTATTAAACTTCTTAAGGCCATAAAATCGTAATTTGAATATCGGGCCATCATCCGGAAATTCCCAATGCATATCGAAATACTAGTAAAGATATCGAAATACTAGTAGCGAAATACTAGTTCTATATTTGGAAAAATTCTAATAATTTAATAATTTATCTTTCCAGTGTCCCACTGTCTCCAAATGTTTGAAAGTCTATTCTAATTTAATCTGCTGCATCCTGGGGTTCCCGCCAATCCCCTGGCACCTATCTCCTATCTTTCTTAAATATTATTTTGTTAAAAACTTGTTTCCTATGCCCCAATTGGTTAAACCACTTTGCGCGTGTTTGTCTCTTTACTTTTCCACCACCATTTGGTATTTACATACTGAGGAACGTTCTTGTTTATAAGAGCCGAAACGATAGTATGTTCATTTAATATGTATCGTATGTTCATTTGTGTTTTATCCACGTTGTTTGTTGCTTTAGCATATATGCATACCATTAAAAACCTTTTCCTGATGCATAGTTAGAAGTTTTTTTGATGTTTCCAGATGTATTGTTTCCCACCTTTTATTTAATAAGTAAATCAAGGAAAGACATACCATCATCTTCTTCATAGATAATGGTAAATTCTTCCCAGTGAAAAATATTGACCAAATGGACAAATGCATTTGTAAGTACAGAAGGATGTGGATACAAATTAACGGACAGCTGGTCTCTCTGGACTTTGTAATCCCATCTTGCCTCAACATGTGGCACTTCCAAATCATCACAAATGGACTGCACGTGCATGCTCCCAATTTCGGACTGTGGACCAAACAGGGAAGCCACTCCTTTCTGGAGTAAACCACAACCTGAAACGAAAGAAAAGTTTATAATGACCATTAGAATTAAAAACCATGGTTACCTGAACGTGTTAAGGAACAGTTCATTGAAATCTGCTGCAACAGTCGTAGTTGAAAAGCTCAATGGAAGAACAGGTTAAGAAGGACATTTGATAATTTTTGCAGAGGATATCGAATTTGAAAAGCTTTGAAAACGAACGTGTTAAGAAGGACATTCCATAGATTTTTGTAACGAACATAGCATTTGAAGAGTTTGGAGTCATTTTTTCCCTCTTACATTATCTATGATATTTTCTCCTTCTAAAAAACAAGGAAACTGCAAGCTAAGCTAGAGAAGAGAAGCCAGTAGTTTTTTTTCCTTTAAAAAAAGATTGTGCACATAGCAGAGATTTATTTTTTCTGCATTTTCGTTGCATGCATAAAAATATATCACCAGAATCGATCAATCACGCAATAATTAAAAACTCACAGATGAATATTGCGCAAATGAATATAAAACAATAGTAAAATAATGAATAACGCGCAAATAAACAATGCACCAATCGCACAATAATAAAAAATACGCAAATGGAGTACGAATAAAACGCACAATGATGATAAATGTATAATTGAATGCTAAATCAATCTCACAGTTAAGAATAACAGACCATTAAGAAATTAATCAGTCTCCCAATGATAAGAAATTGCCAATAATTAATGAGAAAATACCAAGAAATTGTTATTGCAATTACTAACGGTAAGGGACAAAAAGCATATGAATAACATCCATATGACGATTATGAATAAAAAAAGTTTCAGCTATAATTTTTTTTAAAACGTATCTGTAATCACAGTCTCTCGTATAACTAACTGTATGTTCGACCATATTTCTTTCTTTTCGTCTCAGGTGCCATCAAAATTACTGCAGTGAATGCTTAGCGAATTCTTTCTTGATAACAATCATCCAAAAGAACAAAAAACAGCTGAAAAAAACTAACCACCTTTCCAATCCTATGCTATGCTTTTTTCCCCTTCTGAATAGGAAAAAAATGTTGGCATCAAGAAACTGTTGTATTTTTAGTAAACGAGCTTCAAAACAAAGCCGCAAAAATGACGTCATTTCGATTTTTTTTTATTTAACCGGGAGTTATTTATTTTTAGCCAAGAATGATACTTCGTTTGAAATCTAAACTTATTGTTCCCCTTTTTCACACCAAACAAAAGAAAGTATAAACAAAATACTGACTTTTTTAGCAGGATTGGCGTCATTTTAAACTATTAATGTGTATTTAATATAACATTAGAGCCTTCAAAATTTGCCGTTTAAAAAAGATGAAAGCAATGTTACATAATCTTTTGACATCGGCTCTATTTTATCTAAACAGGAACTGATATTCAGGACCAGGTCTCTAGCCAGTATCAGGATACTAAATACATGTTTGAAAGCCAAGACGGTTTAGGAGAAAAAGTCATTTCTTATGAATGATAGGACTCTGGTTCGAATCACAGAGCTGACTGTTCGATTTGTATGCAGCTCTTCCCAACCGTAATGCTTGACGTAAAATATTAGCAGTCGTCTATGGCTAATACGTTAGAGTACCCTTGCCGTCAGACTAACCATAGAAACACTTTCTCCCCATCACAAAACTCAAATGTGGATTGTTTCAATCAAAAAGTTCCTTCACAATGCAAGTTAATGCCAATGCCTAGCTCAAGATCTACCTTGTCTTCAGGGCGCAGTTCAAACTTACTCGTTACGAAATTAAGTAATGATAGTCAAAAATCCTATATGGATTGGCAACCCAATGCTAATTATAAATATATATATACCAATGCTATAAATGAGAGAATCATGGCAGAGAAGTGAAGAACGTTTTCCAGAAGATAAAAACATTTGAGGTACCAAATAAGTAATAAATACTTAAAGGGTAAATACCATTATAAATTAAACAATATTTATATGGAAGATTCTCACCAAATGAGACAATTGAGAATATTTGCCACAAAAATCTGATATTATATTATAAATCAATATAATATTATAAACTCGTGAATTTTTGTAAATTTAATTTAATATCATTTTTATTAGAGTTTTAGAATGACTTTTAACAATTACATACATTTAAAAAACGAAAGTTGAATTTCAAAATGTCCGTTTCCTGGCACGTCACGAGCAATATTTATAATAAATAGATAAATAGCTGCTTTAAAACTCTGTTTACATTGTTCTCTATCTAATTTTTTACACCTAAACTGGTGAGAGCAGATTTAGAGTACGTGCACATGAAAAAATTTCCAAAGTATTTAGCCAAAAGCTCATTCCAAGTGAAATCAAACAAAAAAAAATCCAGTTACTGTCATATCTCAGATTTTTATGTAAATATTTTTATCGAAAAGTTTCTGATTAAAAACGGTAAAATTATTATTTTTTTTTCAGAATATTTGAACCAAAACCACGATTAGGGGGCTATTTCTGAATTTTGACACTGTTTAAGAAAGTTGAGTAACTGTAGATCGTAACTCATACATTAAAAATGTCTCTATCTTTCTTTCAAGTACATTTTTTTTTTTGGTGTCAATGGAAGAAAAAGCTGAAAATTTTGCATTTAATCTTTTAAAATGCCAAAAATATTTATATAATTACTTAACAGAAATATATTAAAAGAATTTTTTACGAAATTCTTCTCAAATTTCAACATTTTTTTACCGGGAATTTACAATTTTCACCATTTCAATTTTTTTTCTGCCGACCTGGTGGCCAAGTGGTTAGCGTGCCTGACTGCGGAGCCGCTGGTCGCTGGTTCGAATCCTGCTCAGGGCAAGGATGTTTCTTTCTCTCTGTCTTCTATGTACTTTCTCATTTTTGTGTGAATGTAACCCGCCCTATAAACGGGTTTGTGGTTGTGTGACGTGGGCGACGCTGCTCCACCGCCGTGGCTTCGCTACAGGTGCGCGCTGGGTAACGAGAAGAGAGTTGCAGTTCTGGCATTTCTGTGGCCAATGGGACAACCCCCTGTACCCAACATTAAAAAAAAATTCTCAGAATGTCGAATGTTATATTTTCAGCATTAAGAAAAATCAGGAGGAGGCTTTTTTACTATGGTTAGTAGGAAAATTCAAAGTGGTTTGTAGCCAAATTAATTCAAGACAATTTATTATGGCACAAAAATATTTTTTCTTCTCATGGTGTTAAACATCAGGCTTTTAATATGCTTTATTTTATCTTATAACTGTCATTGAACAGGCGACCCAATTTTTGGGTTTATAACTACTAATGTTCAACTCCGTAGCCTTGTAATTTTTAACCCTATCCAGAAGACAAGGAAACTCATTGATCAAGTATTGGGAGAAATTTGCTTTCGTAGAGGACTTTTTGAAAGAACTAACCCGAATTTGCATTACATGGAGAGAAAAACCACGAAATCAGGCTAACCTCCCACGGTTAGCCTGATGGCAGGGGGACTCTAACCCATAATCCTTCTTCTGCTGAGTATATTTTACGTCAGCACTATGGTCGATGAGGGCTGAATGCGTAATTCGTAAGAGGGTGTTTTTTAGGGGGGGGAGGGGGCATTAAACAAATGAAAGTCAACCAATGTTATTCTCAAAAACACACCACCTAAAAGGCAACAATCTTTATTTCTCAACATATGAAATGGGACAATTTCTCATTAACCCCTCTAACGGTACTGGACATACCGTTAATTTATTATTAAAAAAAATTAAGTTTAATGTGAACGTACTAAACAATTTCATTATTTACGTAATCAATGAATACGTAAATACAACAGTCAAATTTAATGGTAAAATAATAAATGCATTTACTTAGCTGTGTTGATTTTATACTGTCAGTTGTTTCAAGTTTCACCACCTCCGCTATCATTCTAGAATTTCGGAGCAAAGTTTCATCTGTATTTAGCCAATCAATGGCTATTCTGAAAGCTAAATCAGATTCGTCGTCATCATCTTCGAATATTCCACCTGAAAAAAATTACTTTTGGAATTAAATGTCCAAAAAGATTCCGAAAGACTACAAATTTAAATATTTGAGTACTCTCAAGAATAAATGATCAAATGAAAAAAAGTCCAAAAACTATATATGTCAATATTTCAGTTTTACATTAAAAAAAAAAAAAGAATTTTTTTTAAGAATTTATTCTATTATTCTTCAATACGCAGAATAAAAAATATCCACCTTAATATTCGTTAGTCAAAGGCTCGAATTTATGCGTACTATACTGCTTAAAATTCCAAATCAAATTACGGTAAAAAGTACTGGCAATTTGGGGACATCATCCGTAAAACCCATTTTTACATGCCATAAAATCCATTTTTAATTAATATTACACCATAATTTTTACAGTAATATGTATTTTAATTAAAGTGATGCAGTGACTTTATGGTAATTATTACAGTTAAAATTTCATTAGTTCCAGAAAAAAAAGCGAAAAGTGAAATTAACTTTAAGAGACCCAAACTTTTGACTGTACTCTAACTTTAACTATTAAAAGCTCTACTTCCCAGATCAGAGCTATTACCAATATTTTAAGGGTCGAAAATCCAAATCCGTCTAAAAGAAAGTATTTTTTGTTTGGAAGAAATTCGATACAAATACTGTTAATTTCAATATTTTCAAAGAAGTAGTATTTTTAAATTTTTATCTTTCAAGAAGTCAAGATAGATCAATTCTTTTCTAATTTTGGATTTTGTTATTTAAAAAATGAGCTAACTAAATTGGTTGAAAAATTTGTACACTTTGTTTTTCAATAATTTTTAATTTTTTTAAAAATGTTTTGATTTGTTTCATTAGTTCCGGAGAAAAATACGAGAAAAGTGAAATTAACTTTAGGAGACCCAAACTTTCCCTTGACTCCTAAAAGAGACCCTTAACTCTTGAAAACTCAACTTTCCAGATCGCAGCTATTACCAATATATTGAGGATCAGAAATACACATCCGTTTCAAAAATACGATTTTTTTTTTTTTTTTTTTTTAAATTTTTTTTTTTTTGGGGGGGGGGGAATTCGTCTTTGCGTCTGATTTCCTAACTTAACGATTCATCTGCATTAATTAATAATAATAATTAAGTTTGAAATTCCGAACCATCAATATTGATTACCGCATGGGTAAATTTGATCATTAGATCAAAAGTTATTAAGGTAATTGCTTTTTTATGCCCATTACACTATTTTACGGATTTACTTCGTAAATTTAAAAGAAATCTTTAAAAAAACGCACAATTAATTAGAAATTAAATGAATTTTATTAATTAAATGATTTTTTTTTTACATCCTTACACTCTGAGAGAAATCAGTTCAACGTTGAATTAAAATAATGTGTAAATTTTGTGCAAAATAAAAAAATTTGTGTAAGCTAAATTGAATGATTCTTCAATTCAAATTGAGGCACAATATCATCTGAGGAAATCTTTAAGAATGATTTAGTTGTTCTATAATATGGAGTTCGATTTCCAATTTGAACAAATTTCGCTTTTTTTTATTAAATAAAAAAACTCCCTAACCACAAAATCAAATAAAAAGATTGAAAAAGCATTTAAAATATAATTCGACATTCTGTAAAGAACGATTTCTGTGAAAGATATTGTTTCTAAGCTAATAAGTGTGAACTTATAGAATAAATTTGTTTCACATAATACAATTTCATTAGCCAAAAATGGAATTCAATTAAAATCAATCTATGTACTAATGCTTAGAAGCAACATTAGGGGAGGAAAAAAAATAAAGAAAAAAGTTTTGTTACAAAACGTCTAACTATCAAATTTCTTCCTAATATTTTTTTTATTAAAATAAAAATTTAAAACTTAAAACAAAGAAAATTCTAAATATGCCCCAATTATAAAATTACAATCTGAAAACGTTTAAAACGCTCTCAGCATTGATCTTTTGCTCGGTTTACTTAAATGTGAGTGTGTAAAGTTCTCATAACTATTTCTTACACAGTTTTCAAAAAATATATATTAAAAGATTAATTAAACTTGGTGGATTTCACTTTTCCACCGAATATGATAAAAATAAACTTTAAACTGAAATTAAAATAGAATACAAATAATTAAATTAAAAAAGAAAAAGGTGAAAAATAATAATAATACATTTGTAATACATTTTTTAATAATACGCTTCGCATTGATTTACATCATGGCACATCGCGATGTAAGCTTCGTTTTAATACTTCTGAACATCAACATTATAAGTATTTAACAATTTACTGTTCGCTTATCATTTCTACAAAAGCCTAATTTGAGCACAGGTGGCTCAGGGGATAGAGCGTTCGTCTTCCAATGAGGCGAACCGGGTTCGAATCCCAGTGGATACGAATTCCACATCCGGCTTGCATCGATCACAGAGTGCTGACGTGAAATATCCTCTGGTAGACGGATCATGAGTTAGAGTCCCCTTGCTGTCAGATTAACCGTGGGAGATTCTCATGGTCTTCCTCTCCATGTAACGCAAATGCGGGTTAACTCCAGCAAAAAGTCCCCCACGAAAGCAAATTTCTCCCAATACTCGATCAAGGAGTTCCCTCGTCTTCTGGATTGGGTTCGAAATTGCAAGGCTACGGAGTTGAACATTAGTAGTCGTAAACCCATAAAATTGAATCGGTTGTTCAACGATGGTTACAAAAAATTTTAAAAAAATTCTAATTTGTAACTTGCAAAAGTCTGAGATAGTTGTATTGAAATTTCGTTAAAATAATTTAACGTGGAAAAATTTGTTCAACTACGAGGTAAAATTAATTTAAAAAATTATCATGCATAATTTTTACTTATTATTCTTTACACATTAGTCTTTTTTTTAACATTTTATTTTCAGCTTAATCTAAAAATAGCCTCTGACATTTATTCTTTTTTAAGCCATTACGACTTGTTTGAAAGAAAAAAAACTACTCTCTGGGCGTTTTGTAAATTTACGATTTCCCCCAAAAACAACAAACGCGGAACGCTTTTTTCTTTCACCTTTTAACTTAAGCTATATTGAAATGCGTCCGATAAAGAAAAAAATGAAAAATAAATACAAGTGGAGCGTTTTTCCATGGCTTGATCTGTTTATGTTTCAGCACGATTTTCTTCATCAACAGTAAAGAAAAAATGGAAACCCTAAAAGCATTTGGAAAAAAAACTGATCTTTTTATAGTTTTTCTTCTGAGAAACTTTTGAGTAAACATGGTTGAATTAAATTAATGAAATGTTTCGAAGAATAAGAAAATAAGGAAAAAAGGGATTATAACACATTTATCGAACTAATGTAATCTAATAACAATAGAATTTACGTATTGTAAAATTTCGATTTGCTATTTTAGGTAAATGCCCAAAATTAAAGTTAATAAGATAAATGACCCTCGTTGAAGACCAACAAAAATCGAAATTCCATGAATCAACAAAAATCGAATATTGGATATTTTTGTCCAATGCTACCAATAAAATCAATTTAAAATAACCAATATTTAGAATAAACTCATTAACACTAGAAAGACTGAAACTTAGTATATACCTATAGTGCTCAAAAGCAGTCAAAATGACTGGATTGTAAAAGAATAAAAAAAATTTGCTAAAAATTAATTTTTAATATTTTTTATATTATTTACAGTTATATAACAAGTTATTAGTAAATATTAACAATAAAAAAATTATATGTTGTACAAAATTCTAAGAAATTGTGTCATTATATACATCATTGTTCTTTTAATTGAAATTAAAAGCAATCAAAATGACTTCCTTAGGCAATCAAAGTGTTAAAACTGTTTGCTAAACTGAGGTGGAAAATATGTATTTGATGGAAAATATGTATTTAAAACTGTAGTTTAATCTTAAAAAATACTATACAATATTCATCAAGTTTAATAAGGCGAAAATACTGTTAGCGAAGTGCAAATTGAATTTGAAACACAATTCTGACTTAGTGGTCTTAAAAAAATCTGCAGAATTTTTTACGTCTTATAAAAATTTACAAAATATGTAAAGAAAATATCAAAAGAATATTTTTGCAGATATTATGCAGATTATCATGCCTTCAAAAACTTTGCAGAGTTCTTAACAAAATTTTCTACTGATTATTTTTTACTATTATGAAAATGAAAAAAAAAAATTAACGTTGATTTTTGAATACTGTTGCAGGTCAAAGAGGATTCTTCGTTCTTTGAATTTTCAATGAAACATAAGATATCAAAATAAAGACTTGACTCTTCTTTATTTTCCAGTGATATACGTAATAAAGAAGGTTTTCGAAATGTTTGCTAGAATAAAACAACAATGTCTTTTTAATTTGATTTGTTACTGAAGTTTGTTTGAAATTGTCATGAAAAAAATAAATATTTCGCTTAATACTGAGAGAAAACAAGTATAATCAAACCAATAACAAATAGTTTGATGAAAGTAACTATCTTTAGAAATTACGTAAAAAATATCTATTAATTCTTGATTATTTTATCATTTTGATAAACATTAATTTAAAGATATTGAGCAGCACAGCATTTCTCGAAACATTTTGTACCATACAACCAATAAGTAGCGAAACAAAGGTTACTTTTTTTTTAATTTTCAAGGTTTAAGCAAAACGAAAGATTAAACTAAATTTGAAAAAATTGAAGTAATAATTAAAATCATTTCTGAGAAAAATTTCTGTGTAAATAAATACATTTAAGAGATATGGTTGTGTGCTTAAAAGCTCTATGATATGACGTTAATTATAAATATCAAAACAATTTTTCATGTAAGCAATCTGCGTACAATTTAAAATATGATTTATTATAAAAAAAAAAATTTATGGAAAAACATTTCAAACTAATGCTCCTATTTAAAGTATTTTTCTTCTTTTAAACCTATCCTAATTTGATTTGATTGCTAATGAATAATTAAGTGCCAATCGTTAAAAGTAAATGATTGCATTAAAGCAAAATGGAATCTGCATTTATTTTTTTAAAAACATTAATTTTTTTCACATTCAAAAACTTGCACTCATATATTTTTACATCAAAAGATTTCATCAAAAAAATTGCGTTAATGAAATTTTCATGCTGAAAAACTTGCTGTAATATTTTTCACACCTAAACATTTGTGTCAATAAATTTTTGACATTCAGAAACTAGTATTAACTTTTATTCACAAATGTCTAGTATGTTTTTACGTTCAAAAACTTGCACAAATTTTTATTTTCATCACAAAATTTCAACATCACAAAAACTTGGGTAGAGGAACTTTTCATGTTTAAAACCGTGAGGTAATATTTTCTACATATAAACAGTGTGAATACCTTTTTGACATTTAAAAACTAATACAAATTTTTATTCATAAATTTCGAACATTAAAAATGTATATTACCATATTGCATTTAAAAAAAATTGTGTTGGCATATTTTTTTACGTTTAAAATCTTGCGCTTATATGCATTTTGTTTAACATTTACCAGCTAGTGTTAGCATATTTTTGAATTAATCGATTTTTAATAATGTGAACTAATACAGGCTTTTTTCATATATTTAGGTAAGAAAATTTGGCAACATATCTACAGCTTCAAATTATATGCATGTTCTCGAAGTGTCATGTTACTTACCCACGTGGATACGTGATGGTAAACAGTGCCCAATTCCGAACAGTAAACATGTGACAGCTACGATCCACCAGAATGTCCTCATCATTTTGTTCCGATTCTTGAGATGTTATGATGAATTATTGAAACATGGATGATCGAGGTGTTCTGCTCAGCAGAACATTCCCTCATCTGAGTTTGCAAGGAGCAATGCTTCCATCAAGCTCTGTTGACTTTTGTTTCTTCCTGACGTCATTAGAAGGCGGGAGGTACAGTTGTGAGACATTCACTTCTGCTTCCAAAAAGTTTTTATTTTTGTTCCACCGTCTTTGATGTCGCGTATGAAGAACTGGCGAAACTTACTCACTTCTAATGAGTTATTATTATTTTTTTTTTAATTAAAATTGCTATCAATTCTGAGTCATTCTGCGTACTATGCCATTAGATTTCTTTTTACTGAATGCAAACCTTAAGGCTGTTTTACCCTAATATTAAAGCTCAATAAATCTTATAATTCATATTTTCTTTAAGTATTAGCATTACTATTTTTAACGGGAAAATTACTATCAATTCTGAGTCATTTTATTTTTGCTTACTGAATTTGAGGGTTTCTCTAATGTTGAAGCACAATAAATCTTATTATTCACATTTTCTATAGGCCTTACAATTATTATTTTCTAACATGAAAATTTCTATTAATTCTAAATCATTCTGCGCACTTGATTATATTTTTGCTTACTAATATGAGGTTTAAGGCTGTTTTCCCTTACGTTAAAATATCTTAAAATCCCTTACGTTAAAATATCCCTTACGTTACGTTTCCCTTACGTTAAAATATCTTATCTTAAAATTTGCATTTACTATAAGTATTAGGGCTGTCATCTTCTAATGTTATAATATATATATATATATATATATATATATACAGAAGAGCCATTACATTATGACCACCCTNTATATATATATATATATATATATATATATATATATATATATATATATATATATATATATATATATATATATATATATATATATATATATATATATATATATATATATATATATATATATATATATATATATATATATATATATATATATATATATATATATATATATATATATATATATATATATATATATATATATATATATATATATATATATATATATATATATATATATATATATATATATATATATATATATATATATATATATATATATATATATATATATATATATATATATATATATATATATATATATATATATATATATATATATATATATATATATATATATATATATATATATATATATATATATATATATATATATATATATATATATATATATATATATATATATATATATATATATATATATATATATATATATATATATATATATATATATATATATATATATATATATATATATATATATATATATATATATATATATATATATATATATATATATATATATATATATATATATATATATATATATATATATATATATATATATATATATATATATATATATATATATATATATATATATATATATATATATATATATATATATATATATATATATATATATATATATATATATATATATATATATATATATATATATATATATATATATATATATATATATATATATATATATATATATATATATATATATATATATATATATATATATATATATATATATATATATATATATATATATATATATATATATATATATATATATATATATATATATATATATATATATATATATATATATATATATATATATATATATATATATATATATATATATATATATATATATATATATATATATATATATATATATATATATATATATATATATATATATATATATATATATATATATATATATATATATATATATATATATATATATATATATATATATATATATATATATATATATATATATATATATATATATATATATATATATATATATATATATATATATATATATATATATATATATATATATATATATATATATATATATATATATATATATATATATATATATATATATATATATATATATATATATATATATATATATATATATATATATATATATATATATATATATATATATATATATATATATATATAAATATAATATTTATATGCGGCAATATGTCGAAACAAAATAAAAGTTTTTATTAAGTAATCTTTGTATGGAGAGTAAGAAAACAAATAGTCCAAAATCGACATGTTTCTCTCTCAAAAGCAAGAAAAGATCTTTCAAACAAGTCTCGATGAATTTTCAGGTCGCGTGCAAAACATTGAAATGTTAGAAATTACAAATGGTTCATAAAATTGATCAAGGGTATAATATGATTCTCACAGTGTATAAAAGGGAAAAAATTAAAATGTTTATCCACTTTAAAAAGAATAAACATATTTTCAAGCCAAATTAGCATTGTATGTTATAAAACAACTTTTTGTCTTAAGAGGTTAAAATAATTACTAATGTAAAGTAGAAAATAAACGAAAAATTACAAATTATAAAAAAAAAGAAGACATCGACTAACGTTTTATCTTTCAAAAGTTTGAAAAAGATGTTTTTGATTGATCGCTGGAAGCGGAGGCTTTCCTATTTCTACTGTAACATTTTTATTTAATCAAATCGTTTCTGAACCTATCATATTCATTTTGTGCTAAACCACTCTGAAAATATGCATGCCAACTTTCCCAAACCAAACAATTTTGATAAATTTGCCCTCTAATTCTTTTTATGAAGTATTCTTACATTTGAAATATTCTCACATTTTAAGTATTCTTACATTTGAAGAATTCTTACATTATTACATTGAATATTCTTACATTTTCTTACAAACCCGTCAACCCACCACAACGCCTAGACATTTTTCTTGGTTTTCCTGCCCAATAGATGTATAGGCCAACTTTCTATAACCGTGCATTTTTGACAATATTGCACTTTTTTTGCAAAGTGTTTTTACGCTTAAATTCACTCCTTAATAACTAGTTTTCTTTAACGCCTCGACACCATTCTAGGTTTTCTCAGAACAACAAAATCTCTAGGTAAACAAAAGAAAAAATATCTGGCAGGAAATCAGGAAGCTAGCTATTTCTTCCCTGAGAAATCACATCACATTGAAACTACAATAGCTGGAGCAAAATCCTCAAGTGGTACGATAGTAATGCTTTCAGTGGCAACAGTGGCTCAAGGTTTACTGTGGTAAAGGAAAAAAAATGAAGTCAAATGCCAACTTGTTCCTTTTGCCCCGCCTTTTCCTACCACTGATTTTCTAATTAATGTAGTTCCACTCATATTTGAGAATTTATTTTTAGTTCCTTTCTTAATTTTCGACAGTGCTTACTTAAACTTTCAATTCTGCAAAATTGTTCTATCCGATCAGTAAAGAAGTACTTCAAGCAGACGACTAATTGTCAATATTAGCAGATGTTCATCGATAAGCTTTTGTAATCCCTATTTTTCTGCAAGTTTTTCATGTGAATAATTTGCAGTAGATGCGTTTGTTTATTTTACATATTTAAATATATTAAATGGTCTGTTACTTTATCAATAAAATTATTGTTGCTCGTTCTCGATGTTGGTATGATCGTTATAGATCCCTTGACCAGGCACCAATAAAGCAATGTTTCACAGTTCTTCGAATTAAGTTTGCGTTTTTTTCTCATTCTATTTATTTTTTCATTTAGGTTGAAAACTTAAACTATGCTTTATTAGATAAAAATCTCGATTTCTCCCACTTTTGAAAAAAAGCAATCGTAAGGGTGAGGCAAACGAGGCATTTGCATAGAGCTCTTTTTTTGAAAGAAAAAAGTTTCAAAGAGTTTTTTAACTAAATACATTTTTTATATTAATATTTGAAAGAATTGTTTTCTATTTTAATTGTATAAATAGATGCAATAACCTAAGTATATCTTCAGATAAATATCTTAGAATTAAAATGTGAGATATGTTTAAAAATTTCACACCATTATTAGGCTAGGCTTCAAAGTCTAAAACTCTTTTTTTAAAACTTCCGCTTTTTGAAATCGAACGATAATTCATATTAAATAATATGGATGCATTATATATGAAAAGAAGATTAATAATAACAATAATAATAGTACGAAAATGTTTAAGCTGTTCATTCTTAAGCAAGAATTTCGAATAAAAAATCATCTTATCGATTTAGATTATGCAAAGATCTAACGCAAAGGTTCCCAACCATTTTTGAATCACCACTCACTTTACAAATTAAAAAAAACTTTCAGTGTCCTAATTAACGGGACCATAATTGATCAATTTTCCTAAAAGATAGAGCAAATTGTTTTGTTTAGTGCGTCACAAACTCTAGAGCAAAAACAATTTTGACATCGATTTTGAAATCATAAATCTCATTCTTTGTATTTAAGACTTACAAAACATTTTTTGTGTTGAAAATTGTCTGCGAAATTGAACTTCTCATAGAAATCATTTAATTTCTTAGGAGAAGTTAACTTTGGATTTACATAAATGATTTTATCTTTTTTTTAAATTTGATTTCCTCTTTAAATAGTATGATTATATATATAGAAGATTCAGTTAGAAAAAAGCTAAATTACCGATTTTGAAATAATCGCCCTTTTTTCGTAGAAAAGTGAAAGACTATACGAATAGCACTCAATTTTTCTTTAAAGCTATATTTTTCATATTTCAAATGCTAAGCCTAAAGATTTTTAAATTGTTAACTGAATGATAAAAAAATTGAAAGCAAGCGATATTTTTTATTACAAATTTGTTTGAAGAAATAATGTGTTTCATGTCTTGTTTTTAATATACTGCCCATTGTCTATATGCGAATATAGAATTTCGTGATTTAACAGTATAAAATAAACAGCTTTCGCTTCGCCAAGTCTTACATTTATTTAAGCTGCTTTTTTCATGTCATATAATTCAGTTGACGTTTGGCTTAAAATTCTGGCAAGAGATGACCCTATTTAATCAAAGTGACTACTATAGTAATAATTATTTTTTTTAACTCTTCCTTGCATGTTCCCATTTTAACAAAGCTTTCCATTTATTTAAATAGCTATTTGCTGTCATATTATACACTTAACTACGGAAAAGTCTCAAAACGTTTCTATTCTTATGCTAGAACATATAAAAAAAATAATGATTTTTTTCAAAGCGAAGGAAGTGGCAACGTTTTCACTTACTGCGTAGTACATTTAACTATAATTTCGAAGATGGATTTAAGTTTGTGTTTAATAATTCCATCCGAGATTATTTATAATTGTCTGATAATATATTTACGTTACTTATTTACTTACTTATATTACATAAAATGCTTGGATGCTTTTTTTCTTTGCGTTAAGGAAGTCAAGATATTATGAAAACAAAGTAAATTTTTCTTAGCACCTAAAGCAATAATTACACCTTGTTCAAATATTTTAACTTCTCTCAATAATTTCTTATTTTTAAAATTTATTTCTGAAACAAATATAATACATATTTATATGCTTTACATTGATCTCTAATTTTTTGAAATTAATTGAGAAGAAATGAATGAGTTTTTTTAGTTATTGTTGTTACATAAGTGTTTTCAGATAAATAATCGGTATAGACTTTTCCCTTCTTTATTTAATATAGATATTGTCACGTAACCCAACTATATGACATTAAGTAAACTGAAATAAATAAAAATGAAACGAGAATTCAAAATTGTAGCTTGATTACTCGGAAAACGGTTTCTTTTAAAAAAAAATTATCTATTCCTTTTATGGCACTGGCAAAGTTCTTTTAAATTATTCTAATTGCAAAATAATCATTAAAAATATAAAAATCTTATTCTGCTAATATATCTAACCAACCACTATATATCAAACAAGTTTAATCTTACCCTTTTTAATTTTTATTAGTACTATTTCTTTCATTTTATTACTATATTTTAGCGACAGCCTATAATGAAATAAATAATATGTTTCATTTTTAAAAAAATAATATTTTAAGTTGAGAAATATAGCGTTTTGAAAAATCTTTTTTTATGCCTATATATTTTATTTACATTTTCGGTAATATATTATAAAAGCACAAGGCATTCGAAAACAATTAGTTTTCAGTTGAAATCTAATTGGTACGTAATTTCAACTTTTGTAATGTTAGATTCAAGCCTAACTGGATATCAAGCTTATAAAAAATGTCTAAATTACTAATCATTTTTCTGAAATTTTAAATAATATTCTATGTGCTAAAAGTAACTAACTCTACAAAAGAATTATTTTTTATTTAAATATGATTTGCTGCAGCGTTATTTCAACTTTGTGACTAATGACACAAAATTGCCTGGAATTTAAATTTTTGTTTTACGTTAGTTCTAGTTATTAAAATTTATGCTCTAGATTTTTTGCTTTGTTTCGCAATTTCTAAGCATTTTTTTCTCATTTACAAAGAAATTCCAAAACACTATTCCTCTCAAATTTTTTCAATATTAACTGTTCGATATCAATTTTAATAAAACTAATATTAATCAAATGCTGATGAAACATATACTTGCAAATTTGTTCGATTCTACGTTTTCATTCATTTTTTGTGTTGATTCTAAATTCTCCCGAGCTTTTATTCAATTTTCATATTTTAACTCCAGATATTTTCTGGTTTGATTTAGTTTTATTATTTCGTGAATTAATTGTTTTAAATATTATTAAGATTATTTAAATATTATTATGATTTAAAATTAAAAATAAAATATCGTTTTTCTTTTCAAAAATTAAAAACTTTTAAGAGAGAGCAAAAATTCCAGTTTTTTGACTAATTATTCTAACAGTACGAATAAATAACAATGTTAGTTAAAAATTTATCACTTTAAACAACGATTTTTAAGCATAATAAATATGAAAAAATAAAATAAATTCTTAACAATTATTTAAGTGTCATAAATTATTTATTAATTCTAGTTCATATATAATAATGAAAAAAAATTCATAACTATTTTGCAATTTCTGCTTAAAAACTTTATACTCTTTTGAACATTGTGATATTAAACCCGATATTTAATCCAATACATTTTGAGCAAATACAAAATGAATTTTAGTACAAATCTCTCAAGAATAATCTTTTTTCAATTTTATTTTTAATTGTTTTTTAAACAAATTTTTAAAAAAACGCAGCTCAGAAAGTGTGAAAAATTAATCTTTAAATGAATTTTCGATTTATTTGTTAATCGATCTTTCCAATTTACATAAATTAATTTTTAGTAAAAGTAAAGATCTTTTCTGTCACAAGTTTCCCTGGCGAATACTTCTGCCGTTATTCTTTTAATATTTTCAGTTTGCCATTTGTTGCAAAATATTGTTGATTATCAACTGCTACAAAATTAGATTAAATATCTGTAAATATTAGAAATAATTTAGATTAATAAGTCATTGGATGTTACCAGTAAAAAAATCGAATATCGAATGAAAATAAAATTTTTATTAAGAACTTTACGGATGAAAACGCTTTAAAAAAAAATATTTAAAAAAAATAAAAAATTTACAAAAAATTCTTAAACTATCGTGGTAAAACAAATCATTCCCTTCTTCTCTTCACCCCATCTTCCTTCATTTATTGCACAATCATTCTGCAATAAATACTCGCCAATCTCAACATACATTTCAGAAATCTATTTCTCATTGTCTTGCATCGACATCAACTCTTACCGATAAACACTGCCTGGAAAACAATCTATTGTCTACACTCATACCATGACATTCTATTTCACCGCCACGATCCTCCCTTATTGCCAGGACATATTTAGACTACCTCTTCCGCATCTTCTTCATCTACAGCATTCACGAACCTGCATCTTCCAACATCTAAAAATCCCTCTTCGTCTTAAATACGCAGCTCTTGAAGGAAGGGGGAGGTCCGACAAGTGAACAATGACGTATGACAACACTTCACTCAGTGGTTATGAAGAAAAAAATACTCTTTTTCTAAGAAATTCTTTTGGATGCCTTACCAAGCTCGGTCCTAACTAATGACGAAGCAAAAAAAAAGTTTTGGAAAGTAAGCTTTATCAGTAAGTTAATATTCTGTAGATGTAGAAAATTATTTTAAGATTTTTTTTGGGGTGTTCAGATATTACATTTGTTCAGAAAAGTTTAAACGTTCGCGCACGCCGATTTGGAAACGCCAAACGATTTTGATGAGCACAATGCTGTAGAGAAAAAGCTAATTGAAGTAAATATAATTAGCAATTTTGAGTTCTGGAATGTTCTAAATACTATATGGGATTAGCAAAATGGAACTTATTATTACTAGATTTAAGAGGTATCTATATGGAGTCAATAAGGACAAGTGCTTCCTTTGAGACTTTTTAGAAAAATAGCAATACTGCAAAGTTTACTTTATATATTATATAAATGTCTTAGCTGCAAACTTACTTCAAAAATTATAAAAAGGATAATATTGATTTAGCAGCAAAATTACTTTTTCAAATTAGAAAAGATGATAAGGATTTAGCTGCAAGTATGCTTCATTAATTGAACGAAAGATTATAAAAAAGAAAAACTATGCTGTAAAAACTAATTTCATCGACATCTTCAGCTCTTAATTTATGACTAAGTTCTAAAAAAAAAATATTCTAATTTGGTCTTTAGCCAAAGTGCAAGACCAGTTGAGAGAATTGCGTTTATTGCTAAGAATGACTATCGTCTGAATGTGACTATTTAATTTTGTGACTATTGTACTGACTAATGCTCAATTGCAATAATGACTGTGAGTTATCAGTATGACGTTGCATCATCTACCTCAGGTGGTTTCATCAGGTTGTTGTTTCGATGGAGGGGGAGTATTTGGAAACTGGTCTATCTTGAAATGTTCTTCTTCACTGCAGCTTATTTTACTTTAACCATGATGTACAGATTCTTGTTCAACGAATGGCAAAGAGGGTAAGTGACATTTCACAATGAACATTATCATTAAATTCTGTATGTAATTTATAGTTAGACAATTATTTATTTAATTTAGGCTATATTGTATTATCACTTATCAATAGAATCTAATTTCATGTAGCAAACTAAATCAACGGACGTTTTCCAAAAATAGCTAATTAGAGCTTCAAAATTTTAAGTTACATTTTTTTATTTACTTGTTGCTCTTGAATAATGATTACGTTTCACAGAGACCCTTTTTTCCAGCTAGTACTGCTTCTCATTGATACTGTCTTTCAAAGATATTTAACATAAGTATTTTTGATTCAGAATTTATTATTTAAAAAATATATCTATTTTGTATTTAATTTACAGAATTGAAATTTTAAATGATTATTTTGGACCTTTTTTTTGCATTTTTGTATGATCATAACTTATAGGCATGTTTTAAAACAATAAATGATTTTGACAGTTCTACTTAAATGCATCATTGCGCATTATGTAAAGTGCGCAAAATGGAAATAGGTCCAATTTTGAAGAATTCAATTTTAAATTGCGAAGTACAAAATGCAAGCAAAATCGGTCAAATAGTTCCTGTAAAATCGATTTTTTTAATCAATATCTCAGAAATTATTCGAACGATTTTAGCTCAAATTTTCTGTTCTGTTAATATAAAATAGCTTTATTTAAAATAATGTTAAAAATTATCCGTCTTACAATTAAAAATTTTCGACTATTACTAAATGAAGCAATGAAAAATAATAATATAACTACTGAACGCTATATTGTATTATCACTTATCAATAGAATCTAATTTCATATAACAAGCAGAATCAACGGACGTTTTCCAAAAATAGCTAATTAGAGCTTCAAAATGTTAAGTTACATTTTTTTATTTAATTTTAAGTTATTTTTTTACTAGTTGCTCTTGAATAAGGATTACGTTTTACAGAGTCCCTTTTTTCCAGCCAGTACTGCTTCTCATTGATACTGTCTTTCAAAGATATTTGACATAAGTATTATTGTTTCAGAATTCATTATTTAAAAAATATATCTATTTTGTTTTTAATTTATACAATTGAAATTTTGAATGATTATTTCGGACCTTTTTCTTTGCATTTTTGCATGATCATAACTTATAGGCATGCTATAAAATGATAAATGATTTTGACAGTTCTGCTTAAATGCATCATTGCGCATTATGCAAAGCGAGTAAAATAGAAAAAGGTCCAATTTTAAAGAATGCAGTTTTAAGTTATGAAATCAGACACAAAATCGTACTTTCTCTGAATAAATGTACCTCTTTTTCGACAGATTCAGATTTCTGACATCCAAAATATGGGATAGCCGTAATCTCAGAAATGTGGTCTCAATAGTTAGGTCAGGAGAACGGTCCAAAGTTTGGACCCCTTCATGTTAATTTCATTTTTCCGTATTTCACTATATCTCCAAAACTTATTAAACAAATTAAATTTTTTTTACACAATTATAAAATTTGTTTATCAAAAGATAATTCTAAGTTAAAAGAAACGTTCAGTAGTTATATTATTATTTTTCATTGTTTTATTTAATAACAGTCGAAAAAAAATGTTACTTGTAAGGCAGAAAATTTTTTACATTACTTTAAATAATGCAATTTTACATAACAGAACAGAAAAATTTGAGCTAAAATCGTTCGAATAATCCTGAGATATTAATTTTTTTTTTTAAAAAAAGATTTTTTTTAAAAAAAAATTCGATTTTACAGGAACTATTTGACCGATTTCGCTTGCATTTTGTACTTTGCAATTTAAAATATCATTTGGACTTATTAATAGCGTATTTGAAGTCATTCTTTCGTATCATTAAGTTTGAGACCTACACCATGAAGATCTGATCATTAAATTGAAAGTTATTCGCGGTTGACCGTTTTCTTTCGCACTGTACATAAAATAAAACAACGTAAGTGTAAAATGAAAAGTAGGTGGGTAAAATTAAAATTATTTAATTTTACTATGCATGCTTTTAATATTACTATGAGTAAAATTAAAAGCATCTTTAAAACTTTTAATTTTTCATAAGTAATTCTTCATAGTTAATTTTTTCATAAGTAATTATATCAGTATGAGCAAAATATTTTCTTTTAGTTTATTCTTCTTCTTCAATGGTACACGAACACAGGTTGGGCCATGGCCTTCCTCAGAATGAAGTTCCCACCAGCCCTCTTCTTGGATAGACTCTTCCAGTTTATAACTTTGATAGCTTTTAATTCTGTTTCTAGCAGTCGATCCACCGGGTCCTTTTTTCTGGCTCCAGATGCTTTTAAGTCGGAGATCTTTTTGGTGGCTCGGTCATTATTCATTTTAATCAGGTGGCCTGCTCATTTTAGTCTCTGAACTAATATAAATTTTATTCTGCTTGTCTCTTTACACTTTACACCTCTCAAAATAATTCGCAGTATTTTCTTTCGAAAACAGCTAAAACTTTCTTATCACTTTCAGTTATTGAACACTTTTCAGCAGCTATGTTCAATAATTCAGCAGCTATATTCAGAACTATGGGCTTGATCAAAGCTTTTTAGAGCAATTTTGTTTTCCTGCTGATGAGACTAGATTTTAAATATTTGTGCTTTCAGTAAAAACATCTGTTACCAGTTGTTATTCTGTTATGTACATACTTCTAGAGTTTATCTGATTTTAATTTTATTTTTTGTCTAACATTAACGTTCAAATTTTTTGGCAAATCAAGGAAAGAAACAAGTATAAAAATTAAGTTTTAATGGTCCTATGATTCTTCTGAGCTCTTGATGGTCTTCTTTTAAATACCTATATGATAAAGGTTTAAGAAATTGTCAATTTTGACCATACTTCATTTTATAAGTTTAACGATCAAATACTAGATGTTCTGTTATCACCACATTTAATGCGTATGTTTTGAAGGGAAAAAAAGAAGTCAGAATTATATACAAATTAAGGATTTAAAATTAATTTTTCAGAGAGAGATAAAAATAGAAACAGTATTAAAATCTGAGGAATTATTTACTAAAAAAGCTAAAAAGCTAAATTTTGAGGGGGGGAAATCAAAATTACATTCTGTAGTTTTTTTTCTCAAAATAATCTATTCTTAATTTCCTCTGTTTCCTCAGCTGTCTTAATTCCTAATCAACAAACAAGTTTAAAAGAAAGGAACTCAAAATTCATAATATAAATAGAGTAACATACAATGGTCTAAGGGGCATTGTACCTTGGATCGATTTTCCTCACTTAAAAAAATTTCTTAAGGAAGTAGTAGATTTCATTAAAAAATTATATTAAGAGACAATCGTTAAGAAACATTTCCCAAATAATCTCTATTTAACTATTACTTTCGGTATACAAAAGTAAAAAGTTAAACTAGGTCCAATGTACAACACTTTTCTCGTCTGCGTAATTTATTAATCAATAAGAAATTCCCCATTTTTAATTAGACATCGTGTTTTCAATCAATATTGCTTTTTATTGAAATTCGGTATACCCTTTACTTGCATAAGAAATCTCTTAGAGCCTAAATTTCTTCAGAAAAACTCACATTAAAAAATTTTATCGTTGTAATTTTAAAATGCCCACTACTATTTATTTTGTTTTAGATAAAGAACTTTCGCGTTGGATGTAATATCTCTTACTCCTGTGGTAGTTCAGTAAAGTTTTCATCATACTGTTAAAGTAGAAAAATCCCTACGTTTATCATGATTATTTTCTCACAAAAATATTAGTTGTATTTATGTTTAATAATATTCTACAATAATATGAGTAGGGTTTGAATATATAGTCCCAACATTAAGCTTAGCACATGTGGTTGTTTCAATTAGTTTTTTGTTTAGGTACCCTTATAACTAATAAAGTACTGTAATCTCTGATCCGACGTAGAAAAAAAAAGGCTGTTAATATTTGTAGAGAACAAACAAAATGCATCGGATTTTTGTGCGTAAAAAATAGTTTATACCTTATTTGAGGGTATTTTAATAGCTTTGGAAATTTAAAAAAAATGCCATTTGAAACACTGGAGTTTTTGCAAATCTTTGCTGAAATCAGTAAATTGTTTATTGCTAAACTTTCCACTGAGGGCGAATAATCTAATAATACTTGATAAAAAAAATAAGCTAAGTGTCTTATTATTATTTTGAGTAACCTGCTATCTATGGGTGGTAATTGTTTCTTACACATTTTACGTAAGCATAGTTTCAAGCTAATTTTCGGGGCTACTTTGTATAAGACCTAGTTTGTGACTAAATAGCCTATCAATCTGCAAATACTATTATTACCATTGCATCTTTAAAAAAATTTATAATTGCTAACAAATTTTTTTGAACAATTTTTATCTGTTACTGTCATAAAATATTTTACTCGTTGTTTTTGTACCCGAACTACTAGCACCGGATAAAGAATCTCTAAAACGTAGCTTGGAAGAAGGTATTTTTGTCACTGTCATGTTTGAAGGAAAACACAATCAGAGTTTGATAACAAAACTGTGCAATGGAGAAGAGTTAGGCCTTGCAGTAGAATGCATGAGAAAGACCAAAAAGTCCTGAAAGTGCTCCGATAAATGGGATATTCTTATTTATGAGTGGACTGACATCAAGAAAAAAATGAACATTCCCATGCTAATGATACGAGAACATTTCAATGTTCCTGATATGGCTAATTACAAGTTATAATAAAAAACTTAGCATTCAAAGTCACGCAAACAAAAATTATCTAATTTATAGCGTAATCTCATTAGCAGATATTTGTGCAGTGTGTTGCACACTATTCTAATAAATTTGAATTGTATTCCATATCGATAAAAATAAATGAATCGTCCAAAGAAGCCGCGAGCAGGGTTTACTTTGGACCAAACTTATAAAAATACTTATAAAAATACTTAAAAATATATATAGAAAAAGGGGGAATTTATTTAAACGTATTGTACAGTTAAGCTCTTTATATTTTGTTAATTCATTAAAAATGAATTTGGATGTTGTAAGTTGGTTTATTATATTTGTTTTTAACGAACTTGCAAGCAAAACCACGAAAAAATGGCTCAAATTACAATTGACGATATTTTACCTGAAAATTAAATTTGATTTATCTATAAATACAATCAAGTACACTGTGAAAATCCATTTTTAACGGGAAATTTTACGAAACAAAAAAATTTGATATACCGTGCTTTTTACTATAAAATCACATAATTAAATAAATATTATTATAAAAAACTTCGGTGCAAATTCGGTGAGTTGAAAATGCATTTTAGGGTAAAATGGATTTTACGAATGATGTACTTTTCACCGTAATTTGATCCGGATTCTTTTACTGTGTAACATCAATCAGAAGTCTAATAACTTAAAATAGCATTACGACTGTAATTCCAGATTTTCTCACTGTTAATTACAACTCGTATACAACTACAATTTGACCATTTCTTTAACTCTAATGTATGAATTCAAATTATTTTATTGATTGTAGCATCTTCGAGAAAATGGTATTCCTATGTTCAACATTCATGGATCTCATTCCCTTAAGTTTTGTCCTTGGGTTTTATGTGTCCTTCATTGCTACAAGGTGGTGGAATCAATATATCGCCATTCCTTGGCCAGATAAGTATGACTACTTTTTTTAATAATAATACACCGAAGAGCCATTACATTATGACCACCCCTCCAATAACATGCAGGACCACCTTTAGCCCTCAAAACTGCTAGCACCCGCAGTGGCATTGATTCCACAAGGTGCTGGTAGGTAGTCTGAGGTATCTGGTACCAAGCGCTCACCAACTGGTCCTGCAATTCCCTCACATTGCGAGGGGTAGCATGGCAGCACGAATTTGGTTTTCCAAGTAAGACCACAAATGCTCTATTGGATTAAGGTCAGGTGAATTTGGGGACCAAGACATGACTTGAAAGTCACTGGAATGCTCCTCGAACCAATCCATGACGATTCGACCCCTTATGACATGGCGCATTATCCTGTTGGTAAACACCATCCCCCGCAAGAAAAACTGTTGCCATGAATGGGTTAACCTGGTCTGTTCAAGTAGCTTACAGACGTCAGGGATTGTTCTATGAGGATTATGGGTCTCAATGTGCCCATGAAAACATTGTTCCTGGGTGAGAAACCATGAAAACCTGGGCGAGCCCATTGTTATAGATGGAGGGTGGTCATAATGTAATGGCTCTTCGGTGTATGTTAGACCATTCTAGAAACATAAAGAATAAGCATCTTTTGGGATTTTTTTTCTGAGGAAGAATGAAATAAATCAAAGTTCTGAAAAAATCCCTTATCATAGATTCTAGTAAAATGTAAAAATTACTTTTTTCAAAGCAGTACAAAAAAAGAAGAAAAAATAAAAAAAAAGACCACTGTACAGTTTTCTTTTCATTAAGAATTTATTTCGAAAAGAATAATGGTTGAACCAACAGCATATGTCAGGATGAATAACAAAATTAGTTTTCTTATTATGTATGATGTTATGTTATTATAACGTTTGAAAATAACTACACAATCAACTTAGCATTTTTGAATTGTACCTATTCTTGCAAGAATGGAGAGTTTATTAAATTCAAAATTCTCTGACGAAAATTGTATGTAACGATAAAACTATGAAGTAAAATGAAACAGTACTGTGTAATTCTGTAAAAAATTAGCAATGTTAAAAATTAGTAAAAACTCTGTAATTCTGTAAAGATTTTAAATGTATTCGTACCTCATGTTCGTACAATTTTTGCAATATGATACCATATAAAAAACATTTTACAATGAATTTACGAAAATACTGAAACTATAACAATACATAAAATTTCCATCTCGTACTTTTTCCTAAAATGAAAGAATATAATGTTCTCATGTAGTTAGCATATTGCCACAATAGAAAAAATTATAATCTTAAAATAATTATGTGAAAAAAACTTTTAAGATTTTCAGTAGCTAAAGTTTGACCTTTTTTTCAAAAACAATAAGAATCTAATTCAATATACTTAAAATTAATTTGTTTAAGCATATATTTCGATATAATTCAAATGATTGTATGAAGAACAGTTAAAATATTTTTTTAAAAATAAAATCAGTTAAAAAAAGGTATGTTCATTTAGAAGAGAGCAATTTTAGAACCATAAATATGTATTTACTACAAAGTAATTGAAAGCATACTATTGTTCAAATAAGAATTTTATCGCAACAGATTCATTATAAAGTCTGAAATCAGAACATTGGATCAAAAAAGAATTATTAAATGTAATCAAGATTTTTTTCTCCAGCTGTACATGCTACTAAAACAAGAGGTAAATTTTTATTAAAAAAATGGCAGGGGACCTTTTGGAAGCTGAAATGTAAGAAAAAATCATTACATTTTCCACATTAGACATGGAACTTATAAAATCAACAAGATCACAATTTGACTCGAAATGTAATCAGCAACTACATTTGCCTGGTGTCAAATTCAGTAATCAAAGAAATTACTCATATAAGAACCATTTTTTAAAGTTAATTTACGAATTAACAAAGGCAAATCATGAGATCAAACGGATCTTTTATTTGTCTTTTTCTTGTCTTCCTAAAGGCCTAACTTTTTGATACTCAATTGTTAAAACAAATTCTACTGTTCCGTCCGTAAATGGAATTTATGTTCGATCATGAAATATATACTTTCCAGTGAATGATTTAAACTTTTACGCTTAATCAGTTCGTGGTGCTCATAAATTCGTTGTTCTTTTTAGGTTGATGAACAGTATCGCATTGTATGTTCCAGGAGCTGATGAAACAAGTCGTGTACTGAGGAGGACACTTATGAGATACTTGAATGTCGCTCTAATTCTGGTGCTCCGTTCGATCAGCATGGCTGTCAAGAGAAGGTTTCCCACAAGAGACCATTTAGTAGAGGCAGGTTTGTGCTTCACTTTAAAAACAAAGCAAAATGAATTGAAAATGAAACACATAGTAAATTCTAAAATGTTAATAAATATTTATTTTTTTAAGAGTGTAATTGTTTGATCCAGTGAAAAAACAATGCAGTGCCGAAATTTCAATTGAACTAAACTTTTAAAATTGTTTAAGGCTACACAGTACCCTAAAATTCGCAAAAATATGCAAAAAAATATTTTTGCATTTTTGGGTGGCTAATGTGGTTGGGAAGCAAGTTGAAAAATTTTGCATCTGAGATCTAATTAGTTTTAGAGATATTAGGATTTTTCCGAGTTGTGTCAGACTCACAATTTGACAAGCGAGGGGGCGTGGTTAGTTTCGTTTTCTTTTAAATCTAATTTTAAAACTTTTTTTTTCAAAAAAAGACTTATTTTATTTCGATGATTATTAATTTTCACTTTCTCCAAAAGTTATCAAATTTCACTTTCACTTCTAGAAGCATTGTTGTTTATTTATGTTCGGTGTTTGATGGATGCGTTCTAAAGTTGTGTTTTTACTAAATTTTTATTTATAAAAAGTCTTTTTTAAGACTAATATTTTTTAATTTATAAATACATTCGTAACAGAATATTTGTTATACTTGATTGACTGAATATTTATATAATTATGCTAGCTATTTCTTTAATCCTATTGCTTTGTTTGTCTAAACCAATGTTACGTGTATTTTAGCCGATACAGGTTACATATAAATTTTAAATGTGAAAAAATATAATACTATTAATATTCAAGTAAATTAGTGTTTTTGGACCAGCAATAAGTTTGTTTATAATATATTAAGAAAGTAGGACTGTACAAGCATTTTTAGTTTTGGTTTTATGGTTCTCTTTACTTTAAATGTCATTTTCTCAGACTTTCTTTTTTGTTGATGCCACTGTTTTCGATTCCCTAAGGCTTTTTTCCCTTTAAAGATAAAGCCTTGAAATTTTTTGTAGAAACTTTTATGTATATACAGACCAAAAGTTAGTATGGATTTCAGTGTGAGATGTATACATTTTTTTTAATAAAAATTTGAAGTTGGAGTTTTTAGAATTTTCGGGTTTTCCACGTGTTTAGTAACGATAAAAATAATTAAGATTCAACTAAGTATCAGAGCATCAAATCCATACTAACTTTTGTTCCTAATAATCTAAGATATTTATATTATTTAAAATAACTGAAAAATTTTGAAAATTAAAAAAGTTATAAAAATTTAAAAAAATCTTGAATTTTTTAAAAAAATTTAAATTTTTTAAATTGTGGTTTGTCGATTTCCCTTTTCTTTTTGAAAATCAGTTTAATAATATAATACAAATGAAAATCTATTATTACTTTTAATATTACTGGCCTTAAAAAATTTTTTTAAAAAAGGGTACCGTGTAGCCTTAAGTGGTTTAAAAATTTAGTTTCAGAAAACTTAATTTTTTAAACGCTTATTGTCGTAGTTTATACATAAATTTTTATGAATTAAATTTATGTGTGAATGCATCAGCTTCGTAAAGTCTTATTTTTATTGCTTGCTCCCTGTAAGTTTCGCCAAAGCTCCTATTTCGGGACCGACAACAGGGAGGTCGTTATTAACTACTTGTAATAAATTTGTTGATTCAGCTTTTGACAGTTATTAAAGATGAATTACTTCTAAAGTTTTTCTACAATTATAGTAAAAATTACTTATTTTTACTATAAAATTTTAAGAACTTAATTAATATTTTTTATTCTTATAAAAATTTGTATAAGATTATCATAGTTTGTACTTAACGATATATTAATAGAATTTAAATTAATCTACGAAAGGGAAGCAGGAAAAGGAAAGAATAGTTCTACTTAATTGCGAGAGTTATTGAGCCTTATTAGCTTACTTTTTCATTATTTCGCCATAGTACTGGAGCTACCTGAACAAATAAAGCACTTTTTGAATAAAATTGTGAAACATATTTGTTCTCTGACTTTTGTTTATGAATTTTGATTTTTGAGTCTCAAATTTATGTCCTGTTTGTTTAATCAAAAAGAGGTTGAAAGTTTGAGTCCCTACATTTTCATTTTACTCCTTGTTTATTTTGTCAGATCTCGGGATTCTTTTAGCAAATCAAAAATTTTTAACCTCACAACAACAACAAAATTCGTCGAACACAACTGGTAGTTCCATGTAAAGAACAGTTTTTAATAATTTCTCACTACTTTTTATTATTTTAGTCAATAAAGCTAAAAACATTTATTTTAATCATAAATTAAGCAATTTTTTGTACTTTTTTTAAAATATGTAATACGAATTATAAGGACAGAAAAATGTTGATTGAATAGTTCATGAGAAAATTTTTATAGTATGGCTTTTTTGAAATTTTATTCCAAAAAATATTAGAATACTCTTTTCGTAATAAATTCTCAATAAATCATTATTTTAAAGTTTTATTTCTAATGAACTGTTGGGCCGATTTTCTTTCTGGTTGTATGATTCGTATTACATACATTAAAAAGTAAAAAAATTGAGTATCATTCGATTAATTTTTTTACTGAAAATAATCGTATGTTTTAATACTCCATGCTTAATGTATTAAGATCTTCTCTTGATCAAATTTTTGAAATTTAGGTTTCCTGACTAAATTAGAACTAGAAATGTTGAACTCCGTTCCATCACATGAATTTAACACGTTTTGGATTCCTTGCACTTGGTTCATTAATTTGCTGCGAGAATCAAAACAAGAATGCAGAATTACAGATTCAAATGGTCTGAAGTTAATCATGGAGGTAATTATCATTCTTAAAATTATGCATAACATACCAAACCAACTCATAAAATCGAAATTATTTTGTCTAAAATACTTATTTCCTTGGAAAATGCTAGTATAATTACATTTTCTTAAGCAATTACTATATACAGTACAACACAAAAAATTCCTGACCAAATTACGGAAAAAAATAGCAGCACTCAGAATGGCAGTACATTTTGCCACAAAATCCATTTTTGCGGTAAAATTTTTAGAAACAAAATATCTGATACACCGAAATTTTTTCAGTAATACTTACTGTGAATTTACTGAATCACTTCAATTAAATAAATATTACTGTAAAAATTATGGTATGAAATTTTACTGTAAAATGGATTTTACGGATTATGCACCCAGGGTGCCAGTAATTTGATTCAGAACTTCTGACAATGTATATCCCAAATAAAGTCCAACCAAGAAAAACGAAACATGGACAACTGAAAAATGGAATGTTTATTGAATATGAATTACAAGAAATTTTGAAAATGACGTCCATTAACGTTTTTACAGGCATTGGCAGACTTAAAAAGATTTTATTTTATTTTATAGCCGTCATTGAATAGCCAAACCAAATTTTGAGTTTACAACTACCAATGTTCCACTCCGTATCCTTGTATTTTTGAGTCCAAGTCAGAAGACAAGGAAACTCCTGGATCAATACCTCAGGAGGGATTGATTTGTTTTGGAAACTTGGAGGACTTTGCGAACCTGATGGTTTTAACGTGCACCAGTCACCATTTATTACACGGGGATTCTTCGGCTGACTGGAATCGAACTCCCGCTGTCACGAACAGAAGTCCAAGGCTCTACTAACCAGGATATCCCGGCCTCCCTTAACAAGAGCATCAAAAACCAATATTTGAGGGAAAACTTTGTAGATCTCTTGTTCAATTTCAAATTTTATAAGAAGTTTGAAGTTCACAGCTCAATTTTTTTTTCTTTCATTGGGATGAAAAAATTTCTAAAAAAGCACTACTTTAGCTTTATTTTATAATGTTAGTACTTTACAGATTTGAATATGTTGCAATGCTCATCAAACATGCAAAAAAATTAATAAATAAATACATCCATGAAGTTTTTTTCGGAAAAGTCTCATTTATTTTATAAAAACATTAAACAAAATATTAGTTTTTTTTTCTTTATTATTATTCTTAAAAAATTTCTATTCATGGTAAGTTTTATTTTCTTCTGTAGTTGTTTTTATTAAGATTTTCTTTGGTATTCTTCATTTGAAAGTGACCTAAAATGAATTTAATTATTAGTTTCCATACCACCTTCATTCGGTGACTAGTTATTTTAAAATTAAAAAGCAAAATAAATATCAAACACATTCATGACTAAAATTTGTGAGACGAAAAAAACTGATCTAGACAAATGAGAAAATATATTTAGAGTTTAGAACATTGACATGAAATTAGAAAAAGGAAAGAACTTTGAGATGTTTTTGTCGTGTGACTCTAACAAGGTAGGGGAGGGTCTGTTAATAAAACAATCATTAATATTATCTTTTCTATGGATATATGCCAGCTTTGTTCTAATTGTAATTTCTCCCTTGAGTTGAAGTAGTAGTTTTTTTTCTCATTCAATTTCGTTACACGAAATGAAGAGGGAAGCTTAATTTCTTTTCTTGTGAAACTGATCCAACATAGATAACTTCCACAACAAATTGGCTGCGTTGTACAAAATTCCGGGTCTAATAATTCAGTGACTTTGTCTTACACTTGAAAGAACATTAGGCACTTCTTTGTCTCGAGTATTTGTTGTTAGCACACAATAAGTTTTTATTTATATTAATGTTTTACCCTCAAGTAATTTACTGATTTTAAACACACAAAAAACTTTTTTTTTACATGAGTTCCCCTTCCAATGACGTGAACGCCAGCAATTGCAAATTGATAGAATTCCACATACGGCTCACACCGACCACAGTGCCAACATAAAATATCCGCAGTGGTGGACGTATCATGGGTTAGAGTCCCCTTGCCGTCAGGCTAACCGTGGGAGGTCTTCGCGGTTTTCCTCTCCATGTAACGCAAATGCGGATTAGTTCCAGTAAAAAGTCCTCCACAAAGGCAAATTTCTCCCAATACTTGATCCACGATGTCCCTTGTCTTCTGGATTGGGTTCAAAGTTACACGGCTACGGAGCTGAACTTTAGCAGTCGTAAACCCTAAATTAGGTCAGCTGTTAAACGATGGTTATTTATTCGTAAAATGCCTGTTAACAAAGTTTAAATATGATGGCAAACTATTCATGAAAATAAAAATAATAAAAAAAATCATGCAATTATAAAATAAAAAGCTATACCACTTTTGCTTTACAATTGAAACAAAGAACATTTCTTTTATGTATGCAAAAACACTAAAAACTTCGAAATATTTTCAAATAAACAAAAAAAATATTATGTTTTCAGAAACACCTTAAGTAATAAGTTTTACACCTTAGTAATGAAACAAATTAATATTGTTAATGAGAATAATAATAATAATAATAGCCATAATATTGCATATTTTGGGTAGGGTAAACTAACCAGTGAAGGAACACTTTAGCTTCGCTTGCCTTTTAAAAAATCACATTAATTTCAAAATTCGTAATTTTACTTAAATGACAGTGTCAGTATATTTGTTACTAATTGCAAATTATGTAAAAAAATTGTAGAGAACTTACATAATATTGTTTTAAAGTTTTGGAGGTATATCTAAATTGG